ACTGCAGTTAAACAACACCAGGAAACTACCTTTACAGACCAGGAATATGCTACATAACACCAATATGAAGTCAGTCCTGCTTGATGTCAGCTCTCGTTGGTGACCTATGTCTCAGGACATAGTATCATGCTGAGGATACTTCAGCAGTTTAGGGGGGACATGAACCCTGGTCCAATAGTCTGTCTGAGCTTCTGACCTCATGTCTTGGTCTTATCTAAAGGTCATAAGTATTCCACAATGGTGATAATGTCTACAGTATTTATCGACTTGACAGGCTATGTAAAAACATCTTCCTCAATACTCCCAATCCGAACACAAACCAACCGCATCCAATGCTGAGAAACACTGTTAGCTGGCACCGCTAACTGAAGAGCATCCTCCCACACACTCAAACAGGCTGCAAATATATTCTCTCAAATACAGTCCTGAGGAAGCAGGATTTTGACTCAATTTGGTTTCTCACTTCAAGCAAAAAACCACATATCGTATCTCGGTGTAGATAATGATTTATGTAGTGAAACACGAGAAGTGAATCTATTATGTCTGCTTACATAACATGGTCAGAGCTGGAATTATTACTGCACTGATAGTGGCCTTTAGTGAGATAGCAAGTTATGTTTATGTAGTACAATTATAATGTTGTTGTAGAGTATTTGCCAACAGCTGGGGGACAGGAGGGAAGTTCCAGGATACTTCTGAGCTGTCACGAGCCTCATGTCAAGAAGCATCTGTGATTGGATGTGACGTGATATAAATGCTGTCATACTGTTTCTTTTATTACATAATATTTTGTCTTCATATTTACCGGAATAAGGGATTTTTTTTAAGTCATTTTCTGTGTGTTTGTCAGTGTGTGTGTGGCACATTAGACACATCAGACACAGCATCGACTACTGGTGTAATCTTTAGCTGTTACCACTGTTGTACACACTAACAGTTGTAATCTCTGCCTCTCCCTTTGTGACTCACTTCGTTTCTCACTAAAATGATTACTTGCTCTCTTTCTGTGTGTGTGTGTGTGTGTGTGTGTGTATGTGTGTGTGTGTGGTTGGTAATCAGTCAGCTTAGCTCCTCATCTCAGTAAACAATTAGCCCGGAAGGCCAAGCCAGCCAATCAGAGCTTAGCAGAGCCGGCTGGGCGGCCAATAGCAGCGAGGAACACTGAGTCCCCCTGTGACATGCTGACCTGCTGCATGTCGGTGAGCGTTGCTATGGAAACCCTACTGTACAGAGTGGCTCCGTGATAACGCAGTGAAGCGAGGGAGGAAAGAGAGAGGTGGGAGGAGAGGAGAGAGGGATGTTAGCAAACGTAGGAGAGGAACGAAAAGCCAAACGAAAGCAGCGATGAAAATAATTCCTAGAAATGTGGCATCAGGTGTAGTTGGAGGGGAGATTGGGACAACTCTAGACCTGACTGTGGGAAATGTAGCTGGCTCTAAAGTGCACAGCGTGCTCCAAAAGTATGTAGGCAGCAGAGCATCTTTGAATGCTTTGGCTCCTGACTCTTATTGCTTCGGACATGACAGAGCCCTGAGGTTGCAAAGGTAGACTGTCAGCTCTAATCTGAGAGTAAGTTGTGTTCAGTCATATCAGATGACCACTTAAAGAACTGCGCCCTCCTAATGACAGAGTTTATTTCAGAGTGCCAAAGGTATTTAGACAGATTAACATCGCATTCAATAGTTTTGTCATTTTCATTTCACAGTCAAGCAGTCTTAATATGTGATGACGATTAGTTCAATGGATGACCACCTTTATGCCTTATTTAGAGAAAGCACTATGGACTGTAGCTGTCTAATTTGAGCCTTTCTTTATCTGTCTTTATTTAACTACTTATATGCTGCACCACTGTATTACTGTATATGAATTCCACTACACAAGGAACATCCAATAAACCAAAAAAGACGTTTAAATTTCTAGACTGCAATCACTTTGTTCATTAGGAACATATTAAGCTTATAGTGTCATCATGGCGTTTCAGAGCAAAGGTACAAACCACGTATATTTCTGTTTAATTATTTCAGAGCTCAGTTTAAATCTATAACTGTATTAATAACATGGCTTTCATGGCCCTTATACACAGGACACGTGCAGTATTAATGGTATACATAATGCTTTCTATGGTAACAAGGTAGCAAACGAAGACATTTAAATATCTAGCAAAGTTGGTTGTGAAACAGATCTAGAAAGTTTCCTCACTGCTGAGTTAGTTAAGTTAGTTAGCAATGAGCTAATGATGAAATTTCAAAACTTAGCAGCTAAAAAGCCAGATATTTTTCTCAACTTCACTTACTTCACTTCTGCTGAATGTGTAAAAGCAATAGTTTGCTAACTAATAATACGTTTTGAGACAACAAATAAGTGCAGTAAGTCTGTTAGCTTGTTTTGGAGTTACTCTGCCTACAAATGGCCAGAAGCTAATTACCTTAAATATATTAATTGCTTTCTCAAATCAAGCTAACGCCCAGGAACAAAAGGTCAAATCTGCTGAATCTGAAATGTATTCTTCCTAATTAATATAGCAACAGACAACACGTCTGGATCAACATTGGGAGTTTGTGTTTTTAGCCAATTTGGAAATATCTCCAACCTTACATCATCTGTGTGTGAACGTTGTTATGTGTGTGATATTGTCATGTAAAGTGTCACCTGCCGTACCAGGAGACCAGTTCAATGTCTTCACCTTGGGCTGTACAGAAGCCTTGCTCAGGAGCTCTGGGGCAGGTTAGCTAACGACTTGTAAAAGAAAAACAGAATCAAGCTAATTTATACAGTGTGATAACAGGCTAAATTAGCGCAGAGCTAAAGAAAGTGTGCCACGTGGAAACCACTGCAAAGCGACATGTTATTTGAGTAAGTCAACAACAGCATGGTAAGGTTTATCATCCTTATTATTAGTATTATTAAAGAGATTATTAGAGGTTGTTTCCCACTATCATGTGTTGTTATGCTTTGAACAATCACTGTCTCTATTAAAAACCTTTAGTTTGACATGCATTTTTCATTCCCCTATAGATACACGTAAAAGACAAATGCATGCTGTTATAATAAGGACACTGTGTACTGTTGGAGCTAGATAAACACTCATAACTAGGCCAATCTCTGCTGCATTTACAGTATGTGGGTTCAAATACTTCACAGAGCTACAGAGTTTCTATCTACCACTTTTTTTTGTTTTTGTTTTTTTTTTTTTGCAATCCATTTTTATCTTTCCCTTTCTTTCTATAATGACCTCATTCAGCCCCTGATTAGCGTACCTTGAATAGTAATCATGATAATGATCTATCCAGCCAGCCATTTTTCCATTATCTGTTCATCGTTTAACTGATCCATTCGTCCATCAATCTCTACATCTGTCAATCCATCTTTCCCTCCCTCCATCTCTTCATCCACACCATCTGTCTGGTTATCTATCAAGCCGACTTCTTCTTCTTTGTCCTGATTCAACCCCTCATACCAGTCTGGTCTGCAGATTTTATCGGGCTGCTCAGGACTCTGTGTGTGTGTGTGTGTGTGTGTGTGTGTGTGTGTGTGTGTGTGTGTGTGTGTGTGGTCGAGACTGGCATTGTAAAACAGCCTGCTAGTTGTAGAGTTATGTAAGAAGGCTTTAACTGCATGTATGCTACTGTCAGCTCTGTGGCTCAACTTAAACGCACACTCCCCAGATTTAGCGTGTGCATTTTTGCACGCACAATGTATGCATGGGTATGTGTGTGTTTGTTTCTATTTTTAAGCAGGGATCCATATGGTGTGTGTCTCATTAACAGTGGCTGAATGGACCCTGGTCTGAGAGACTCAAAGGGCATTGATGGCATTGATTTTGATTTCAGGGCAAATCTGATGCTGATTCAAAAGATATTCTACAAATTAAAGGTCCTTTACAATATGTTTATAGGGAAATTGATATTTTAGCTTTTTACTGCAATCAAATGACAAAAAAAAACTGTTTGTGGATACATTACATGAAAACACTATATTTGCTTTGGCTGTATTTTAAGCAAAGGTAGAGATGGTAACGCAGGCCGGTCGGTCAGTCACTCCTGACCCCAGAGGGGTTTCAGACTGAAAAAAAGCCCTGCGCTAAACAATACAGGAAGCTGCAAAGTCTTATCCTCATCCTAAGACGCCAAAACACTGCACAACGGTTTATATACTCACATACAGGATTTTACAAATCAGGACACAGGGCTCAAGTCGGTCAGAACGTGGCCTTAGTCTCGTTTTATCTAGACAATGAATATCTAAAACCACAACTGAGAACATCTCATTTAGTTGAAAATTGTCCGACTGCACTACCACATTATTGTGGATATTTTTTCTGGAGTAAGGACTGCCATGATAAGTGGGGAAATTGACGGTGAAGACATGGATTTGATGTCTCTACCCTTTCTGTTAATTCGTTACAACCTTGTAATCTGTTTTCTAAAACGCTTTATGTTCTTGGGACTTGTTACTGAGCTGGAGCTGCTGTCCTCTCCTGTCCTTCTAACCTTTTACTCATCCCTTAAGACTGCATGGCCTGAATTGAAGGCCTCCAACTACACAGTGCGTCCTCATGCATCTGAATTAAGGGGTTAAGAGTGGACGAAAGAGAAGAAGGGGAGGAAAAAGAAAAAGTGAGGGATAGGAAATTAGAAAAGAGATTTAGAATAATTTTCAAAGCCTGTCCTTATATAACCCCCCTGCCTCTGCATGAATGTGTGTGTGTGTGTGTGTGTGTGTGTGTGTGTGTGTGTGTGTGTGTGTGTTGACAGGGCGCGGCAGAAGACAGGATGACCCAGGAAGACCTCTGGACAAACTCCTACTGTACATCTGTCACCTCTGTTACTGTCAATCGTCCTCCACTAACAAGTCGTTTTCACAGAGGACAGTTGTCAGTCACATTATGACAGGCACTGTTTGGTTCTCAAATCCTCCCATGCTCTCTGTCACACACTCTCAAACCCACCCCGAAAACACCCACAATGCATCTGCCCGTGTGTCACTCCTCCCCCTCCTACCTCCATCTGAGTACGTCTCTGTTCCGTATCCGTCTTGCAGCCCGTTGTTCCACGTCCCCTCGTACTTCCCACTCGTCCCGGTGCTCTCCCGTACTCCATATCGTCCCTTAAAGCCGTGCGTCCACTCGCCTTTGTACACCCAGCGGCCTTTATTCTCAACACCCACTCCATGTCTCTTGCCCTGAGCCCAGGTGCCCTGGTAGGTGTTACCGCTGGGCCAAGTGTAGACGCCCAGCAGCTCGAAGCCATGGGCCCAGGACCCACAGTACTCGCCCTGGCCTTTGGGTCCCGTGCAGATCCCGTGGCCGTGCGCCTTGCCCTCCTCCCACCCTCCGCAGTATGACCCCCCATCGTCAAAGTTGAACCTGCCGCCAGTGGACATGCATGAAACAGGTCTTGGCAATTCCCCTGAAGCCTCGACAAAAAGAAAAAGAAAAGAAAAAGAAAACAAAGGGAGAAAAAAGAAGGACAGGTTGGTGCTAGAACCAATCCATGGTGCTGAATTTAGAGTTTGGTGAGTTCAGGGGTGAGGAGGAGGAGGAGGAGGAGGCAGAGGAGGAGGAGAAGGAGGAGGAGGAGAAAGTTGGGGTGGGGGGGGTGGGTGGGGGGAGAGAACTCCCACTCAAACCGAGAAATGCCACCCTCTGTTTTCAGCTGGCTTGGAGAGGAGAAAGGAGAAAACAAGGTTAATGACCAAGCTTGGCCCCTCACAGGAGTGTCAGGGGTCTCCCGGCGTGGTGGGAAAGGGCAGCGGGACGCTGTTCACACCATCCTCTCGGTGGGCTCTTCGTAGCTCTGGCTAGCACTTCCCAGCTTCTCTGTGGGAGTTGCAGGTGAGAGAGGAGGAGAGTGGGCCCAGAGCTGCCATTATCCTCTCTCAGCAGGAGATGAAACCATCAGGCAGCTCCACCGGCCTGCCATCATCCTGCCTACACAGTCTACGACACAAATGCAGAACTCTTCCTCCTACTCCTGTCCTGCTTTCCGCTCAGGCCCACTCGTTCTGCCGCCTCCTACCTGATGATGCCTCCACCTCTCTGGGGTGTAGAGCCAAGAAGTCTCCCTGGTGGCAACCCTTCAAACCTCCAAGCTTCGAGCATAGAAGCCACCCTGATCAGCACTGAGGCCCCAACTGGAGCTGTGACATATTGTGTGATGAAGTAAAACAAAAAAAAACTCTCCTCTTAATAAAATGTTTTTTTCTTTGAGTCCGCTCCTAATGATCAGACATCAGAAAAAAAATAAATAAAAAAATCACAGTCAGACGCTCAATGTGTGGCTCACTTCAGGCTTCACCATCCTCTTCTTATTCCCAGCCCTCACACACATACACACTGTGGCTGATCGCACAGCGAAGGAGCACACATGCATAGAGAGAGAGGGAGAGACAGAAAAATGGGGGAAAACACATAGGGTAATCTGCTTGGCTGCTTTTTTTTTTGTTTGTCCTGTGGTGCTGGAGAGCAGCAATGCAGTCTCCTGCCTTATGCACGCACACACTGTATGCAAGCACACACACACACACTTTCTGACAGCAATTGCGCACACACAGATAATGAAAATAAACAAGTGAATTGATTAATTTGTCCTCTTCTATTCCCCCTCTCCCTCTCAGTCCGCCTGTAGGTCTTTAATCCACTGCGTCCATAAGTAGTTTATCCTCTGCGCGGGTTGCCTTCAGGTTGCCTGCTTGATGAAATAACATCCATCTATATGATCCTGTTATGGGTTGTTCTGTCCTCTTCAGCATCTCCTGCTTGTCTCCATGTTTCCCTATGGAGCGCCGGCTGACGCACAGCCTGCCTGCCTGCTGTCTTGGTCTTACAATCTCTTCTCCTCCTATGGCTGAATCGCTCTGGCTCTCTCTCTCTCTCTCTCTCTCTCTCTCCCCTGCTCTCTCTGTGTGTATGTCTACCTCTCTCTCTCAGAAAATCTGCTCATTAGAGAGGACTGTTCCAATGCAGCCAACCAACCAACCAACCCCCCCCCTCCTGCTCAATAGCACACTCCAGCTCTTAAAGAGACACACACTCCACACAGAGACAAGCTTCTCTCTTCCTCCCTCACCTGTAGCTTTTATCATTTACTCAGCCTTTGTCTGTCTTTCTGCGTCTCGCCTCAGTCTCCTGCTTGTCAGCCTGATCTAAGAGTCTAAAGATGACTGCAGTGGTAGTAACACGTACACCGATCAGCCGTAACGTTAAAACCACCTGCCTAATATTATAAACGTCCCCCCTTGTGTCGCTGAGACAAGCTCTGACCTGCCAAGGAACGGACTCTGAAGGTCTCCTGTGGTATCAGGCACCAAAGACGTTTTCATCAGATCCTTTAAGTCCCGTGGGCGGCCATCTGCCTCGACCGGTTCCTCAAACCTTTCCTGAAATATTTTTGCATCGTGGCAGGGCGCAAGACGCCACCGCCACCAGGGAACACCATTGCTATTAAAGGGCTGTACTTCGTCTGCAATGATATTTAGGTAGGTGGTACTTGTCAAAGTAACATCCACACGAATAGCAGGACCTAAAGTTTCCCAGCAGAACATTATCCAGAGCATCACACCACCTCCACCGGCTTACCTTCCTCCCTGGAGTGCATCCTGCAGCCATCTCTTCCCCAGGTAAACGACACCACGCTCACACCCAGCTGTCCAAATAAAGGAGAAGAAAACAGACCAGGCCAGCTTCTTCCATCCATGGCTTCATGGTCCGGTTCTGATGTTCACGGACCGGGGATCAGCATGGGCACACGGGCAACCTCACAGTGTTCTGACATCTTTGTGTCATAGCCAGCATTAAAAGTTTTTTTCGATTTGTGCTACAGTAGCTCTTCTGTAAGACTGGACCACACAGGCCAGCCTTTGCTCCCCACGCACATCAATGATAAATGAGAAAAAATGTATATAATCTATTTTAACTAATAACACACAAATCATTGTATTCTTCTTGTCCATATCGAGTGCATCATTCGTAAGGGTTCACAGTGCAGGTTGAAAGAACCAGGGTTTCCACTAGTGTATACTGGTGGAAACTATACTGGGCCGAAGCATTGGGGTAGGTTGGGTTGGACACCCAGATATAGTGGTTATAAAGCTCCTCAGCGACATCGGTCTCGGGGTCAAAGACACCCAGCCAAAGAGCACCCCATCCTCGGAAACAATGTTGGTCATTGAGCATACAGGCGGCCCGGGCCTCTCTGTGGCCATCTCTGCTCCCCGCAAACAAATCCAGCCCCTGGGCCTGACAAGTTTTCTGGCAGAAACCTTGCATCAACAAAATTAATTGGAGTCAGGAGTTGGCAAACTTGGAGTCAAATCAATGAAACTGTATTGTAGGTGTGGGTTAGAGCTACTTTGACCTTCACAAACCTCTCAAACATTTTGAGTTTGCTATTCATAAGAAGCATTTGCTGATGAGAATCATGCCTCGCGAAAAAGAGATCTCAGAAGAGCTACAATCGAGAATTGCTGATCTGCATAAAGCTGGAGGGTTACAAAATCATCTCAGAGAGTTTAAATATTCATCAGTCCACAGTTAGACAAACTGTATATAAATGGAGATGATTTAGTGCTGAGGCTACTCTCCCAACAAGTGGGCGCCCAGCTGATGCCAAAGGCACAACGCAGGATGCTTAATGAGGTTTAAAAGAAAAAAGTCCAGAGCAGCTAAAAGCAGGAATCATTGGAGCTGGTTCACATCTCTGCTCATGAGTCATGGTGCCTGAAACATGGTGTCCGTGGCAGGACAGTACGGAGGAAGCTGCTGCTCTCCAACACATGAAGTTTTGTCGAAAAGCAGTTTGTCACTTCACAACTCTCCAGGGAAAATGTTTTGTGGGCTCTTGAAACTAAGGTTGAATTATTTCGGAAGAACACACAACACATCCTGTGGCGTAAACGGCACTGCATACCAACGGTGAAACATGGTGGAGGGATCATCATGATTTCGGGAAACTTTGGGGCCTGAACAGCTCATCATCAAGGGGAAAATGAATTCCTAAGTTCAGCAAAGTATCTTTCAGGATAATGACAGGGTGGCTGCTCACCTGCTGAAGCTCAGTAAAAGTTGGCTGTTCTAGCAGGACAATAATCCTAAAACATCATGGCCAAAAAATTAATTATTAATTAAGTTTTACATTATTTTGCTGGCAGTTTTCCCCAATTTTGGGTCTTTACACTAAACTAAACTAAACAAAAATAATCTAAGCTAAGCTAGGCCAAGCTAACTGGCTGCCTGCTTTAGCCTCACCATACAGCCATGAGAGCAGTATCAATCTTCTCATCTAACACTTGCCAAGAGAGCGCTTAAGCATATTTCTAAAAGTGTATAACTATTCCCTTAAAGAGTAATAATCACTAAACTTCAGTATTATATAAACAGTCATTTCATCATACTATCAACCAATTTTGGTCCCAGTTCACTATCCCAGTATAATCTTCTCTCCAACAGCAGTTCTATGCCTTTTTCTAAAGAAAATGGATGACTGACAAAGGCAGCTGAATAGTAACCCTCTGCAACCAAAGGCTATGGAGATTTCGTTTAACATGCAGAGGTTGTCCCTGTTACACTGCATAGTCCACAGAGCTCATTCTCTACAGTGTTTGCAGAAACAGTATCTTTCAGTAGGAGTTAGTAGTTCCACTTAAAACTGCAAGAAACCAGGGCATTGTTTCTGAACACAAATACATATTGCAAACACAGGAGCTTGAGATTATACTGGAGTCTATTATCATAATTAATGGCATGTTACCAAGTTATCTTTCCGTTATTAGCATGGAAGAGTCGGAAGACATTTGAGGAAATCTGGCTGGTTATGATGGTCTGTATGCAGTGCTGATGGCGAGGGAGAAACAGCACTAAGATCTTCTCATTGATTAGCTGATAAAGATAGTAACAGAAATATGATCCTTGAGGGGAAACCCAAACTAAAGTGTCAAATTGATTTCCTCACATCATTGTTTACTTACAGTATGCAGTTATTAGGGAAAGAAATCCGTTCCTGTTGTCTGTAAAAAAAAATTAATGATTGAAAGCACCGCTGACAACGTGATTCAGATTTTAAAATATAAACTGCAGTCTGTTACTGGTGGCCGTTTATGAGCTTTGGCTTTGCAGCTGAAGTTTGCAATTTGCAGTCGAAGCACAATACAGCTAGAAGTTAAGGTGTTTAATTGTTGCTGAATTACTTCAATCCAAAAAGCAATACGTTGTTTTGTTCCATGGCTGTGACTGTCACATTTGGCAGTTGATACTTTGACTTGTGGTTTGTGCTGCGTTTCAGGAGCAAATGTCTCCACAAAGGGGCAAGCCACGGTTGTGTTATCAACATTAAATATTGTGTTCCCATATGCCACCCGTTTCATTCCAGTGTAAGTTGCCAACTGGG